AGGATATTCTTTGGCTATTTTAAGTAGCTCTGAACTGATCCAAGGGGCTAGTCATATATAAACCTCAACTTTCTATTATTAATAAATAAACAAAACTTCTCCATCTTGTAGGCTATTACCAGGAGTTCATTTTCCCAACTTGCACTGTACTTGGTGTATGTAGCTCTACCTGCCTTTAGCTACTTTTACAAGGCATTTGACAGGGCGTTTCTTCTTGTAACCCTGGTCATGATGCACTGATTGTATTTGCTGTTTTCCCAGTCACTTCATCCTGCTTTATGTCTATTTTTAACCACTCTATAGTTTACCTTATGCTTTCTGTCACTAAGAGAAAATGTAACACGCTTTTTGATGCACCTTTTTTTGTGGCCCAGAACAACCTTCCTGATTTCACTCAAAAAGTAGTGACATTTGGATGACATTCCAGGATGCCATGTGTCAGGTTGCAGCTCTTTGACGTAGGAACCATACAGATGTGCAAAACAAGCATTAGAACAACTGAATGTGCCCAGCAGGGAGGCAAGCTTGTATTACTAGCAACAAAACAATCATGACTAGAAGAATGGAGAGTTTCCTACCTGTGGGCTAACTTCTTATTCTGACCACGTCATGTGTTACATTAAGTCCTGGCATTATTTCTCTTTCGTTATTCTTTCAGAGCCTTGTTAGAGAATTCTGATGAAATTATCAGGAAATCATGTAAACTTAAAATATAAAAGGTTGAAGGCTGTCAGAAAAATGAATGCTGGGGATGGTGTCGTTCTGAGCATTGACCCTTGGTATGGAGAGGATACCCGTGGGTCTCAGGAGTCACTCCCTCTAAAACTTTTAAGTTTTACTTTGAGTTGAGCTGTATTTTGGTGTGGTCTTTCCCAGATAGTTTCCTCTTGGGTTTGACTTCTTGCATGAGTAATGCTGATTATTCTATATGCTGTACCTCCAAAAATCCTTTGGATTTGCAGGACAAAAGCAGAGGGCTCCTGCCGTGGCTGTGGATTACAGGACATGCAGGATATGTGATACATTCTAATCAAGTACTGTATAAAAGAACAAACCTGAACTCTTAAACTTCTAAACATGGAAAGAGCAGCCTGATGGTTTCCGGTGTGTTTAGATGGCTTGACAAACGTTTTATGTTTACCCCTGCTGGTAATGGAGTGGATGTGATGCTAGGTTTGACTCCTTGGTTGCCTAGAACAAGTGCCAGTGTTGCTGCACTGACATGGCAGAGCACCCAGGACCCGTGACATCTTGACGTAACAGGGACCTGTCATGCTGCACTTCCTCAGCCCATTCCATTCCCATAGGGGAATAATAGAATAGCAGAATGAAGTCAGCAGAATGACTATTCTAATGGTGCCATGAGAGCAGGAAACTATAATATTCTGAATGTTTGGAAGTAGACTTGGACCACCAAGTAATAACAAAGTGGAAATGACAGAGGTCAGTTCAGCACTCATAATTTTGTGGTTAGAAATGTTTGGCATCAGCCTCTTGAAAGTTGTCATTATGAAACAAAATTTGATTTCAGAGCTGTAACACTTCGTAAGCTCCAGTTCAGTCACAGAGCCCTTTCAGGACAAGGCTTACCAGGGGAAAAAAAATTGAAAATAACATAGATCATTGTGGTGATATTGAATCAATGCAGAATTTGTTGTCCCTATTACGTGAAAGGTCACTTGAACACACCTCTGAATGCACCAGCTCTAGATTTTAGGTGGATGTGCTTTAAACAGTTCATGCCTAAAGCTGCTAAGTGAAAAATTAGTGGGTTGGGGTGTGTATACACACACACATATATATGCATGCTTGTGTGTGTATATTTATTTTCTGTAAAACACAGAACTTACTCATTTTTACTTACTCAACCTCCCCAACAGAAGCAGTAAGATCCCTTTGTGTAACAATGCCAGCCCATCCTGCACACACATTCTGGCAGGTTACATGGACCCACATGCAATGGGTTTTGATGTAAATGTGACTTTGTCAGCTTAACAGCTCCTTGGGGCACTGTAGGGTGGTTAGAGAAGACAAATGGACACTAACAGCTTCCATTATCAATTGTTCCAAGATCTCCCCGTGTGACTATGTATAATAAGGAAGTTCTGAGTCATTTAGGAAAGTGAATGGTGGAAAATGCAGAGTTTGTTGCCATCATGGTCTGGGTGACAAGCAGCACTACATCCTAGGTACTAGAGCTGCCCGTGTGTACGATGAGTTTTCTGCTGGGTGTTGCATACTGATTACCCCCACAATTCATTTTATCCTTTATCATTAAAGCTGCTAAGCATAGGAATACTAACTTTTTAATACAGCCTTGTTAAGCCTTTTTTTGATACCCCTCTCTATTTTGAAATGAAATTAAGTGGATTGGATCAAATTTAACCCATAAAGACATCTCATTTACTGACTTCACAGGTCCCAGAGTGGAAATTGAGTTGTATTTTGTTTTTAACAATCATACTTTGGATGCATTTATAACAAAAGTACTGCACTTTTTTTTTTTAACCTTTTCAAACCTTTGGATCTCTTAATTCCACAGCAGTTTGTAAATGTTGACTAAGTGAAACTTTTGCAAGCACTACAGCAATAAGTTATCATTAATTACTGAAACATGATAACTGCTTTAGAGCTTATGGTTCTGGCAGCAAAATTTAATGCTGTTTCTTTTAATAATAGTTAAGCCATATCATCTAAGGTTTCTGGCTTGAGATGTGAATTTGTTTTATAGATTATAAATATACCTATATAGTGTATGTATAAAGCAGAATGCCTGTCCTTACTGATTATTTTTTGTACCATATTGTAAATTATATTATTTATTCTTTACCAATTTTGGAAAAAGGTGGTTTTGTTATTTAATATAATATACAAAAGCTGTTAAACTTCCTCTGTTTAAATTTCCAATTCAACTTGTAAAGCTGTTTTTATTCTTGTGCATAAATACATACTAATACTTGATCTAACTTGCATCCAGTGTGGTACTTGCTGTTTATGCCCTCTCAGATGTTTGTTTGTTTTTATTTAAACTTTATTTAAATATTAATGGCCAGGAAGAGGAGGGTGCTAAAAGTTTTTCCATAAGGCTAAGCCTCCCAAGGTGAGAGTGTGGTTTCAGTGAAATCGGACTTCCATTGGCATCTCCCATCCCATCCTGCTTTTTACCATGGTGAGAGAAGGGGGGTGGGAGGGATGTTTGGCTTTTTTTTTGCCTTCCCCCCCCCCAGTAGTGTCTGCTGACTATCACAAATGGATCAAACCAGAGGGCTGCCTGTCCTGTCTTCATCTATGGCCACCAGGATGAACAAGGGGAAGGAAGAAAAAAAAATAAAAACATACACTACCAATCAAAAAGGTACAATAAAAATGGTATTGTACATTTTGGGGTTGGTTTTTTTGTTTTTATTCTAGCATTTTTTTTTCCTTCACAGCTTCGGATAAGCAGGCAGTATTCAGGCCATCATGCTGTGTATAACCACTATCATATAACCCTGCTCAGACTCAAGGCCCAGGTTTCCTTCCAAGCTGAATTATCCTGTGATCTATGTCATTAACCAATTCTTTTTTTGTACACATTTAGGATTTTCATCTCTGCACTATCCAGTGGCAACTTTAGTTCAGTTTTGCATTGAAGAAGTGCAAGAGCATTTGTAAACTAGGTAAGAAATTAAAAGGATTTTTAACATCTCAAAACCTTTTAACATTCTGCAATACTTCCTTTTCCCTCCCAAGAATGAGGACTCATCTCTACCACCTGGGTACTGAGAAAAACAGCACTGTAGGACCAAGCCTGAGCTCTTTCTGTGCAGCTTCTCACCCCCACCATGCTGGGCAGCCTGGCCACGCCCTTTGGGGAAGGAATTGTTCCTGATTTCCAGTCTAAAGTTCTCCTGGTGCAGTTACCTCTTGCCCTATCCCTTGTGCCTTGGGAGAAGAGACCAGCCACCTCCTGGCTCCATCCTCCTTTCAGGTACTTGTAGAGGCCAGGAAGACCCCTCCCCTGATCCTTCTCTTCTCCAGACTAAACCCCCCAGTTCCCTCAGCCATTCCTCATCACACTTGTGCTCCAGACCCTCACCAGCTCCATTGCCCTTCTCTGGATGCACTCCAGCACCTCAATGTCTCTCTTGTACTGAGGGGCCCAGAACTGAACACAGGATTCGAGGTGCAGCCCTTGCCCTGGCCCTGCTTAGCCACACTATTGCTGATACAGGTCAGGATGCTGCTGGCCATCTTGGCTGCCTGGGCATATACATGAAACAAAGCAAGAAGTTGCAGTTAAAGTACCTATTTTTGGTGTGTTGCCTTGGGTAGTTTTGGGGGATCTTTTTTTTTTTTTTTTTTTATCCTTCAGTACTTGAACTATGGAAAGCTGTGGAGCCATAATTAAACCCTTCAGCTGTAAACGTTCACTTGTTATGTCCCTGTCACTGAACACCGTTTGGTTGCGCAGACAGTGCAGCGTGACTGCAGCAGCGCCTCCCCGCTTGGGCTGTTTGACAGCTGGCAGTTCATGGACAGCATCTCCCGGGACAGGGACTGCAGCGATGGATTTTGAGGCTGAGATGGGCCACTCTCTGCTCAGACAGCGCTGGTGCGGGCCAGGGGCTCCCTGCACTCACGGTGCTGAAGCCATCTGCTTAGAGTTATCTCCGGGGTTATCCCTCACGACGCTCTTCCTTCCGGTTTCGGCTCTGCCCGCGAGCCCCGGCTGCGCCGCTCAGGTACGGACCGGACTGGGCACCCCTCAGCTGATAAAACCCTGCAGCCGAACTCAGCCTCACTCACCGTTGTCCTACCAGCTCCTTTAAATCCCGTCCCGCTGCTCGCCTTTTGCCTTCTCCCAGCCAATGGCTCTGCAATTCCGTGTGTTACGCCAGGCGTAGCCAATGGGAAGCGGACAGGAGAAACGACGGCGCGATCCCTTTTCAAGCTTCCCTTCCTCTTTGGGGCTCACCGGACAGGCGGGATATCGAGAGGACGGACTGCACGCGATAGGCTGTTCGACGTGATGGGCGGGTGGGGAAAGCCAATGGTAGGGCAGGGCGGGCCCGCCGGCGCTACCTGCAGTCCGAGGGCAGTGCCGCGCACGGGGTTGAGTTTGATCCTGTCGTCATGTTTCAGGCCTCTGAGGCCGATCCGGCGAAGCCGAGCTCCAGGTGCTGCAGCGGGACAGCGCCAGCCGCGCAGAGTGACGGGAGGAGCGGAAAGAGCCCCGCGGCAGCGCGAGGCTTTGTTCGTGGCGCTCGGCGGCTTCGGCTGAGGCGCGGTGCTGGGGGCGGGGGCGCGGCGCTGAGGGGCTGCGGGAGCAGGTCTCTGCTGAGGGTATTGTTGCTGCGTTGGGTCGGCACGTTCTCCCCGTCTCCCCCATCGCCGGTAGCTGGGGGCTAGCGCAGCTTCCTGCCCGGGTGCCGCGCTGTGCCTCGGTTCACTGGCTTGGGGCCGAGCGGGGATGACGACGCCACTGCCCTGGGCTCGGGGCCACGCGTGGGGCAGGCAGAGGAGCGGCAGGGCCGGTTCCGTGGGGCTGCGGCGCTCGGCGCCCAGCCCGGCCCGTAGGGAGTGGGGCTGGGTCGTGCTGGGCGGGGCTCTGGATCCTGAGGGGTTCCGTGCCAGGTTGTACCTTCTCGGGGAAGGAGTGGGGTCTGGTCACCCCCTCTGTGAAGCTTTGCGAGGATCTAGAGCATGAGCAGATATGAGCTTGTTTTAGCCGTATGAAGCTGAGATCTGTTGTTACACTTGGACGAGGGCACCTATCTTAACAACGTGGAGCTGGAGTGATTCGATAGGTAATTGTGTGCTCGGCGGGGAAGGAAGGAAGTATTTCAAAATCGTGAAAGGGTGTTTTAAGTCTGTCTTTACTCCAGTCGCTCTGAGCTGTGACCTGGTTTTAAAACGCTTCTGAAGATGCTCTGCCCTTACTATAGTCTCTGAGAAGCTTCTATTCTCATGGCAATTCTGAAACCACATATTACTCATAAATTGGGTTTCGGGATAGAGTCTAGACTGCAGACCATGAGAACCTTTTAGTTGACAGCAAGCAAAGGTGGTCTTGTTCCAGCTTGTTCTCTGGCACTGTGGCTGTGGACAAGCTCCAGCAGTGCAGGCAGCAGCATCTACAGGTCCGGCACAGCGCATCCTGCAGCACAGTGTGTTTACTGGCTCCATACAGGGGTCTCTGAGATGGTCACTCTTGACACACGGCCTGTGCTAGCAAAACCAGAAAGTATTCTGTTTAAGGATGCTTTTCCCAGGGTTTGTTTATTCCCTAATGAAAACTTCATTTGGTAATAATGTAAATCCTCATGCAGCTTTCAATGATGTATAGAAGTTTCATTAGTTAAAACTACGTCCAACTCAAAATCCCTGCAGCAACTGCCAGCAGCTGAGGAAGTAGGGAAAAATAACTTCTCCTAATCTGAAAATCTTTGTGAGGCAATTGCAAACAAATGCTTTGCATTTTGAGAGCTCCATAATACAGGAGTATTACTGCTAGAAGTAAATGATGCTAAAAATGTTTTAAATTAAAGCTTCCACTTAAATGATTGCTCCCTGTATCACCATTAACTGGATCACTAGAGATAAAACTGGCTTGCTGAATCAACTGCCTAGTTTTATTAAATTTTAATAATGATGCTTTCTATTGTTAAGGAAGTCTTGCTTTTCCAAAATAAAATGAGGAATTGCATGTTGCGAGCTCCTGTTGCTCCAAAAGCAAAGCAGGACAGAATTCTGCCTTTCTACTGTTGTTGCACACTGTAAAGATGAATTGCTTTTATGTATCCTCAGCTCATCTAGTATATGAGCAATTTCACAACTACTTGGTGGGGCTGAAAATGTTACATGTAGCCATCTTAAAAATATGGCTACAGATGTGTTTGTTTATATAGCCAGTGTCTTGAAGTAATGGATAGGTCTTAGCATCTCTTCCATAGGTCACCTGAAAGGTTTAATAACAAAAGGGCATTCAAAGAAAGTGTGTTAGAATGTAGGGAAAAAAAAAAAAAAAGACAAGAACTAATTAAAATTCCTCAAGCCTGCCAGAAGAGAACAAAGCAATTAGTAGAAGCTTTTAAACGTACTGGGGAGGGTTCTTAATTCAGCTACTCCAGGTGAATTGACAGACTTCTGGTCTACTGGAGGAGAGAAGGAGAAGAGGCAGATTTTGATTGCCTAGAAAACTAAGGTTTTTTTTCAGTACTGTTTAAAAGAACAAAACAACACCTTCCCTTTTCCCTCTCCTCCCAAAGGAAGAAAGAGCTAATTTATCTGGCTACAAGACAAAAATATTTATGTAACCGGGCATAATACCAGTATAAACTAAAATGGCTGTACTGGTACTCTGTTGAGGCAGCTAACACTGGCTTCTCAAGAAAGCAGATAGTATAGTCGATCTGTAGCCTCTTGGACACAAAACTGTAAATAAATAGCTACTCCCTCAAGCTAAAGAGGTTCCTTAAATGCACACTCGTACTAAGGATTAAAATAGTGAAATGGGCCAGTAAAAACAGTCCCTGAGGCTGGTTCTGTCTTTATAAACTACTCCCAGACTGAAAGTGAAATTTTTTTTCTCCTTCCTCACAGAGACAATAGAACTGCTTTTTGCATCCTGAGATCTGAAATGCTGACAAAGCTCATTTTCTGACAGGGCAGCCAAATATTTCTGCTTTTGGGAAATTAAATCTTAAACTGGAGCAGATCTTGTCTCCTAGAGGAAACTCTCCTTATGCTGGCAGATGTCTACCTGAAAAGGCTTACTTCTGTCACAGACCTATGGAGAGATGTGTTGTATTAATTCACTGACATTTGAATTCTGTTTGGTAGAATGGGATAGAGATCTTGCAGTGTAGAACTGATTTCTTTGTGTAAAAGTAAAGGTTAGTTTAGGGCACAGATCAAGCATTCAGATTATAAGAGGTATGATTTGACTGTTGCTTTTGCACAGCTCCTAAGATTGTGGGTAATGGGTCAAGTAGACGTAACTGTAAAGGTTATTTTTGATACGGAGGTATTCAGCACTTTCCCAGGCTTTTTCTGTTATTTTTCCAGTTAATTCCACTGATTCTACTTCCAGGTAGTGGTTCGGTTTCTTTTCAGGGCAGGACCTGAAGTATGTTGAACAAGGAATAGGTATTAACTGTGTGCTTTCTACTTGAGGACAAGCATGACTATTTTCGAGAAGTCAGCCCATTTCTGTTGTAACCTTCAATGTCTGTGAGTGTCTGTTGAATATAACTCAACAGGCTTTGAGGAGCTTTGGTTGTAATAGATTTGCATCTTTACCACAAAAAAATTGGCTCTTTGGCATCCCACCTTTCCACTGTAAACTCTACAGCAGCTAATATGACAACTGAGCAAGGTTGAGCATAGCTACTAAAATACAATTTTTTAGTAGCTGTAAAATGATCTGCTTTTATTTAGAAGTTGATGGGTTTGACTTGTAGCACAGATGCACAGTTGGTATGTGCAGCTTAGCAGAAAGTCAGGTTCTGTAATAGGCACGTCTTTTCTTAATCCATTCCTTCTAAACACCACAGGTCACTGCTTCTAGTGGCACTGTGATGACTATTCCAAGTCACTGTAGACAACGTACAATGATCAAGTTGACTGACTAGGAGGCTGGCAGTGTTTGTGCTGAACTTGAGTATATTTTATTAGAACAGCTCTTGACAAGTGGATTCTTCATGGATGTAGCCAAATGACGTGAAGCAAATTCAAATCAGAATAGTTACTTATAACTACAGGGGAGAATGTGGACATGAAATATTTTAACTGCTGGAAATTCCAAGCAAGCTTCTGTCACTTGCTTCTGTCATTCTGCACCATAGGGTATTGAAGCCCCCAGGAGGAGGGTGTAGTAACCTCTTCGGGACTACGGAGGAAGTTTCTTCTTCAAGCAGGCCACACCGAATGGCGTCCAGTATCTTTGCAGCATCAGAACAGCCTCAAAACATTCCAAAAAGAACAAACCCTCCAGGTAAGAGCTGCAACCTCCTTCAGCACAGTTGGGCTCTGAATGGCATCACGGAACTGGTTTTGTATTCCTAAAGTGGAACGCTGATCTGTCTGCCTTTTTATGTTGAATTTTTACAAACTGAGTGGGCTTGAGCAATGAATCTATTCAGATTTTCAGAAATCTGAATATATCAGTCATCTGCATGTTCATAGACTTCTTAGCACATCATCCAATCTAATTTTTTCAGAGTTGAGGTCTAGGAACTGATGAAAGGAAGCTGTTTCTATTCTAGAGCTGTGTCATCAGTTAGCTGCAGTGAGCACTCACTGTGAATCTGGAATCTGCTAGTGAATTCTTGTAACGAATGATTTCAGGTAGTATCTTCAGGAAAGCAGAAGTAAGTGTCCAGGCTGTAGGGTTCTAGAAGTCTTAAATTCTTGTATCTTTTTTTAATATAGTGTGGTAAAACTAAGTCATCTAGGAAAAAATAATCCAACAACTGCCTTGCAGGAGGAAAAGAAAGTGGTATTTTCGAGGATTCTAGTTCTGCTCAGCCACGTCCACGCATGAATCCACCTGGTGGGAAGACAAGTGATATCTTTGGGTCTCCTGTGTCTACCGCTGTTGTGCGAGCACATCCAAACAAGCCCAAGGTACTTGTGCTGCTTCTTTTGCTGTCAAACCAAGGAGCTCGCCCCACAGCCCTGTCACAGTGCAGTGCCTGTATTCAGTTTAAGTTGACAGACCTGAACTATAACATAGGGTAATGTCAAGTTATGCAGTTACTCACAAAGACTCTTTGATAGCTTGTTGTCTTTGGTGCATCAGATCTCAGCATGCTCTGCAGTTTGCAATGAAACTATTCATTAAACTGTGGATGTGTGTTCATACCAGTGAGCTGCAGTCATAAATCTTCACATGGATTTTAAGATGAGATATGTAATAGTTGTAGAGGCTTGTAGTTATGACCAAATCTGGTTTCTAGAAAAGGAGGACACATTGCAAATACTTGCCAATTAATTTATTTAAATGCTCTATATTCAGATTTACAACCTGCTGTCTTACTCTAAGTAGATACTAGTAAGTGAGTAGCTACTATGTCGGCAATGGTTTTGACATGTCAGCATGGAAACTGAACATCCCATGAAACGCAGCTCACTGCTGAACAACTAGCAGCAGCCTCACTTGTCCTGGAGCCTTTAGAAGAAAAGCTGCACACTCTGGAGTAGATTTGGGTGGATTTGGGTCATAAGAAAGGAGGAGGGGAAAAGACAGACTAAAAGACTGGGAGGTGGATTTTGTCAGGGGTAGTGCTGGTGGTGTGGAAGGGGCTTTGCTTTGTTCCTCTGCGTCTCTTCTTTGGGCTGGTCTCTGGGGTTTTTTTTAGTCACTTTTTAAAAAGTGACTTTTATTCCTGTGAATTCCTGACTAAATGGAAGACAACACTTTGGAAATTCCTGTCTTTAATTAGAGCATGGGAATTGAGGGAAATACTGGGATGGAAAGGAGACAGTGTATTTCATGGGTGGGAAAACATGCAAGCTTTTCTGAAGCATTGCTGGGTAGAAATCCCAACAATCAGTTGGGGTTGTCAGGGATATGACTTGGCTGTTGGGTGCTGTGGACACTCGCTGAAGACAGTAACTGCTGCATGTACATTGGGTGCTCAAGGGCTGCCTGTGCTGCAGTGAACACCAGCTTTTCCTGGGTGCTAATGGGTGCTTGACACAAATGGTAATTCCAGACCTTTGGACTGAACTGTTTATTAGAGACAAAACTTTAAACTCCTGATGAACTAATGTAATGTCTTCATCTGTGTTTCAGTGAATTGTGTGGGATGTGCACCTTGGCAGGAGTTATTGTCTACCACTACTTTTGGGCTTATGTAGCTGCGGAGGGGACGAAGGGCAGCACATAGTGACTGCAGCTGCTGGCTTTTACCATGCTAAAGGTGTAAACTTAGATCAGAAACAAAGCAAAACTTTGTGAAGGATTTTGTGGAAGACACTGTTTGAAAACAGTAATGTTCTAGGATAGTTCTTGCTTGCTTTGCAGGATCACATTGTCTTGAAAGAAGATGAAACACCAAAGAAGCCTGAAGGTCAGCAAGATAAATTCCTGTCTCTTGAAGAAGTTAAGCTCTGAGGAATAGTTTCTTATGCTTCCTCTTAAAAACATGAGACTAATGCTGGTGCTTAGGTTAATATAAACTGAGGAAGTTTCTTTCTGTTAGACAGAAATTTAATTCTTCTCTCAGGGAAATGATTCTCCTCCATTGAGAATATACTTTGATTGATGCCATGTGTGTAGTTACACGTGGAATCCACAGATACATTAAAAAACAACCTATCGGATTGCTTCCTTCTCCCTTGCCGTCTCCTTCAAGTGTGCAATCTTGGCTGACTGTAGTTGTAAAGAACAAATAGCTGACTGAAAAAATGTATTATTGCTTAGCTGATGATTATTAAAGAATGATGGGAATGTAGCTTTCAAGGTCAGCATGAAAAGATGAATTGCTGCTTTGCATCTCTTAATTGTGTGAAGCTGCCAGAATAGTTCTGCAGGTGCATTACTCAGCTGATGTATCCTTGTTAGAAAGATGGCTGAAGGAAGAGAGGAATTGTTATGAAAAGTTAAATTCTTCCTCAGCACCTGTTTTCTGCAAGAAAAATAAACAGATGTAGAAACATTGGTGTGCTATGGATGGGAGACATGGGGAATAGTGCAGCCTGTCAGAGAGGTGCACTTTGTGCACTGCAGAATAGCAACAGCCAGTTGATCTAATTCCTTTTCTTTTTATTCAGCTACAGAAAATATCAAACCACAGCTGGAAGATGGAGGCGAGAAAGAAGATGTGGGCAAAGAGGAGCGACACTTGGAGCCAGAGCCCAAGATAGACAATCACGAGCCCCGATTAGGGCCAAGGCCGCGCTCGCACAACAAGGTCCTCAATCCGCCAGGGGGAAAGTCCAGTATTGCGTTTTATTAGTCATCTGTTCCCTGTCACTAACAGAGTCTGCACAGAAATGCTTGTCTGTGGTTGCGAGGTCTGTTTATGGACTGCTGTTTGTGGATAGGTCATTAGGCAGGTGATTGAGGTTCATGCTTAAGTAAGTGTGTAAGGGTGATTAACCTGATAATATGGGGAAAGAGGGTTGGGGAGGGAAAGGGTCCCTGGTGGGAGATGGGAGCGTTGGCCTGCCTGGGTGGGTAGCAGAGGGGAACATTAGTGTAACTTTGTGGAAGAACAGTGCTACTTGTGGAGAGTTCATCAGACTGAGGTTCTCAGCTAGCCGGTGTCTCAGAATGCTCTCGTGGGGTCTGGCGCATCCATACAGTCAACATGTAAAACATGGTGAATGGTGAGGACCAAGAGACCACCCCAGACAGCTTCTGCAGGAGGCAGGCAGGCTGTGTCTCCCTCTGAGGCACAGGATGCAGCCTCACACAGGAGCTGGTAGCAGTCACTTGAATGTGAATACGTTCTACTGGAACTATGGTGCTATGGGTTTGAGTGTCTCCCATCTTTGGTTCTTTTTCTCCTTTCTTGCCTTGCAGCACGTGATTGCTGATACAAAGCCAACACATGCTGACAGTTTCTTTCATACTCATGAACCATCATAGGTTAATGAATATAGTGGTCTTCCCTTCCCCAGAGTATTCAGGCCTTTCTGATGCTTTCAGTAATCTGATTACTACAGCTAGCTCTTGAACAGTGATAGCATCAGTCTAACACACTGCTCCATGAAGGTGCTTCTAGAAGACTTTTATTCCAAGTATCCTGGTTGAGTGCTTGCACAATTTCTGGTAAAGATGTGGCTGCAAAAAATAGCTTTATGGTGCTCTTTGAACAGAAGCTACTTAAAATGTACAGTTACCACAGAGAGTATCCGATAGTGTCCAGTCACTAGCTCTGACTCAACCAGTGTAGAATTGCCTCAGCTTCTGCACAAGTTTTTCCTTTGTACCCTGCAGAAACCAGGACTGGTTCTGCTGGCTTTACCACAGTGCATTTGTTTGTCTGTGCTGACTCTGTTAGTGACTCTCTTGTCTTTGGTCAGCCTTACTTTTGCCTTCAACTGCCTCAGATTTTTGTTGGTAAGGTTGGGAGGAGTACATGGATTCTCCCAAACCAAGCACTGTAGTTGTTGTGAGACATGCTGTAGACTATCCTAGTTGGAGAAACAAAGACTAGCGATACCAAACTTTTGGTTGTGCTGGCTCTTAAATCATGTTTGGAAGATGTACATGTTCTGAGCAAACACATGTTGGGGAGGGTAGCTCCCATCATTTGTTCTCTGCGTGGACTTTCTGATCATATCCAGAGGTATGAGCTGTGACTGTTAACATGAGGTGCTTACTATTCAATGGATTTCATAGTGACTTTTTACACTTGACATATCGAAACAGGAGTTGTTCAAGTTCACCAAAGAAAAAGTGGCCTTACCTGCCTCCATCTGCTGCTGTTCTAGCCCAGGTTTCCTGGGACTGGCTCTGCGACAGGGGCTAAAATACCCTGTGATGATGGTGCTTAGTCAAGGGTTCAGTCCAGTGAAGTCAGCCATGGTGGATGAAGACTTAGTTCCCTTTCCAGATAGTGGAAGTGAAATACATAGGGCTGCACTAAGGGTAGAAATAGCTGTGAAAAGTTGGGATTTCCATGTCTTTGTACCTTTCAGATAGGTTTGGAACTCTGTCATTTGCCCTTCTGGGAAAACAGGAGGAAAAGAGTGGTTCTAACTGCAACCCTGAAACAGACTTCTGTTAGTTCCAAATGTCTTTCCTAGCAGCAATGCTCGAGTCTGTGCTGGCTAGACTCTGGCTGAGTCTGAGCCATCAATTTCAGTTCCTGCATCCAGTACTTGACAGGGTTTAGGAAGCCACCACGTGGAAAAGTCAACCAGAGGCTCCTTTCTGCACTGAAGGGGCTGGTGTAATTGACATTGTCTGTAGCACTGAGCTTATGGTGGACATCTTCTTGCACCTCCTGTGCATTGGCTGCAGTGCCTGTCTTAAACAGAAACTTCCAACTAGGCCTTAAATTAGTTAATCTAGGTTGATTTTCTTGGATTTCTTTCTTTGGAATGTAAACCATGTTTTTAACTCATCAAATAGGATTGATAAGAGCATTTTTCCAGGATGGAGGTAGTTTGGAAATCAAATGATGAATGCTATTGTCAATAAACCTCTGTATTTTGGTACTTCACTGTTGTGCTGCAGATGTCTGCTTTTATACATCAGTCGGTTCCTACGTCAGTATAGATACACCAGTGAGTTTTGTTATGCCTAATTGGGAGACTGCACAAATATCTTCTGGCCTCCGCACTGGGAGTGTGCTTTGGAGATAGGGTATTCTGCTCATAGGACAAGCACCTCTGATCCCTACAAAGGGCTCAGAGGGGATGGTAGTGTGGGCAGGCAGTTCAGGTCGGTGCCTTTTTGTGGGCACCATTCCAGGTGTACTGGAGTCATTTTGAGCTTCCCTACTGTGAGAGATGTGGCTTGGGGAGGGAGTTCTGTCTTGGGCTACAAAGGAGGTAAAAGGGCTAGAGCCTCTTTCCTTGGAGGAGGGTCTGAGGGAGCTGGGGTTGCTCAGCCTGGGGAAGAGAAGACTCAGGGAGACCTCCCTGGGGTGCTGAGTCTTGCTGGAGAGTGTGAGGACAGGGGAGCCAGGCTCTGCTCTTGATGAGGAGCAACAGGCACAAATCACACCACACAAGATTCCACCTGAACACAAGCAAGCTCTTTTTTACTGTGAGGGAGGTCACCAGGATAGGGTGTAGAGTGTCCATCTGTGGAGATGCTCAAGCTCCAACCAGACACAGTCCTGGACAACCTGCTGCAGCTGATCCTGCTTGAGCAGAAGGTGCTGGACCAGATGAGCTCAGGATGTTGCCACCACACTAAAGGAGTCTGATTTTGCAATTATGTGACTCTCACCCCCCCCCCCCAAATTTCTGCTGCACCAGACTCCAACAAGGAGTTTTTAATTGTCTGTGCTGTGAAATGAACTCACAGCCTAACTTAAAGATTGGAAAACCTTGCTCTCTGAGCACATTCTCTCCAGTGAATCAGTTCATCACTGGATGCTGCCCTTGCCTCAGTTGCTTTCAATCTACAGTGTTTATATGAAATGCAACTTGAGCAGAGCTGTTCTTTCTCTTAGTGAGAGCTGCACCCTCAGCTGGAAGAGTAACTGGAACCCCAGTCTGGGGGTTACCAAGGGCTGATGTACAGGGTTCTTATGCCTGCCTGCTTTGCTACTGATCTCCATCACAGCTCCCAGTGAAGGATTGAGAAGCAGCTCTCCAGTGCCTTATGAACAAGCTTCAGCCAGGTCCACTGTATTCACTGTAGTGTTGCTCTTGAAGTGCTACCCAACGCAGGTTTCTGTGTGTCAGAGAATACCCAAGAACCATGCAGTAAACACCTCCTGTATATGTGCCAGGCATAACAAAGTGGAAATGTTAATTTTCTGTGGACAGTTCCCTTCAAAGACATTTAAAATACACAGAATAAAAATCTACTTCGAAGTGGAAGTGATCAGTGCTGTGCCTGGCAGCTGTCACTGTTCTAATACAGCCAAGGTTCAGCTGACAGAGCCCTCATCCCCTGTTCCATCACCAAAGAGTGGTGCTGCACCTGCAGGGCCTCTGTCCTGCTCCACATGCGTACCCTTTCTTGTTCTGTTCAGTGTTCCACCCTAGAAATTCAAAGCAGCAATTAGTGACCAGAAGGAGAGAGTTCTTCTTGTACACATGTACTGCTACACTGTGTCTTGGCCCTGCCCCTCACCTTTTTGCCAAAAACCACAGCCACCAACAGCTCAAAAGTAGGTAAGACCACTACACACTGCAGCAGTAGTATAGCTGAGAGTTCTCTTTTTATACAGTCCCATTTTTATGTCAGGGGAACTGCTGGAATACACACCCAACACCTATTACATCAATAAAAGCAACTTGGTGATGCCAGGCTATTCTTTACCTCTTACCACACTTAACTTATCTCTTGTCCACAACATTGAGGCTCATGGAGGCAGCAGTGCATGCTACAGTGTTTGACAACATAAAGATCATCACCTGTTGCCAGTGCCACACAGGGGTCTTTAATTCGCTAGAAAAGGCCAAAACAGGATAGAACAGCCAGTCACCTGAAGGCCCCTCTATAGCTTCTTGCAGCATCAGGTTGCAAATATTCTGATTTCTGTTCACTCCGCTCAAGCATTATTGGTTGATGTCTTTTCTTGAAAAATAAGCAGCAGCTTTCCCATCTGGACTGTGTTCCTAGAATGCGTCCCATGATCAGATTCAAAAGGCCAACTCCAACCATTTGTGTGGAAGTTGCAAGCCCCACTGCCATCACTAAGGTTGCTTGGGGGACCACAAGAGGTATGGATGGCCACATGCTAGCCTGCTGGGAGGAATGAGAAGAGGAATCACAGCCTTATTTAAAGCTGTTAGATGGTTGTTGGTTTAAAAAGGCATTATTCCCACTAAATAAACATGTATACTTTCTCTTCAAAGCCTCTGGTATTTATACCTCCCAACCTATTGCCTGGTTCTAGACTGTTCCCCAATTTTTCAAACAGCTTAAGACAGTATAGACAACAAATGCTATTTGAAAGTGGAATAACCGGACTCCAAATTGCTGAAGGGGAGATAAACTCATAAGACTCAAAGGAGATTCAGGTATTACAGTGAAGGTAAAAAAGCACAAAGAAAAGCACATGCAGATTAATGTTTCATGCTGTACCAAACGGTCCCTTACTCTGCTTTGTATTTTGTCCTATATTCTTTGGGGTTATTTGTTACTAACCAGTCTGCAGGACGGGGGAGCCAGTGACTTCAAACTGTGGCTGCTAAACCTGCACATCCAGACACCAGGGCAGTGACACAGGCCACCCAGGACGGAGGAGCACATTCCCAAAACACCCAACTGCAGCAGAAGAGTTGTGAACTTCCAGCAGCAAAGGAGTAAGTAATCACCAACCAGACAGTGGAGACTAATGGAGGAACAAACGTAAATGCCAGGAGAGCGAAGACTGGCAGAGTCAGTGCAGCACAGCTGACAGCAAAGACACCTCTCAGTCCAACACAGTCCTGGTAAAGGAAACAGAGGCCTCTTACAAGGGATCCCAGCCTCCCACAGGCCCTGGTGACAGGAGTGGCTGTGCAGAGTGCACTGAGGTGACTTGCAGTGACATCACTTCCTAGCTGTCAATATTATAGCAGGCGTATATACTAGTTCCTCTTGTGTCCTCCTGAACTGAGGCTGAAATACTTGTCAGAATCAGTGTCCACTATTCATGTGAAATGGCAGTTTTAATAAAGGGGGAAGAAATCCCCACCATTATGCCCTGACAATTAGGGAAATAAGGAAGAGTTTGACAGAACAGGGACTGATGACATGCAGGTAGTCCCTTCCCATCTACTTGCAAAGCTTATCCTGATCCCCTCTGTTCCAGTCTCAGACTTCCCAAAACATACCGCACTTCCCATGGTTTGATGCTACCATAGCACGATTAGGGACAGAGGGAAAAATATGTTAACATTATTTCTTGTAAACTAATTCAGAATAAAGTACCTCTTGCAGTTTGCAAGGAATTAAAGGCCTGCATGTTCAGCAACAACAGGCTAAATTCTGGTTAAGCGGTTTGTAACAAAGACATTTCAGAAAGTCAGGAAAAAGTTACCAGCAAGCACTTCTGGGTCTGGATACTCACAATTAACATGCCAGCTGCTGCAGACAGAACAAGGGAGCTGTCATACACTGCCCCAGCAATCTAAGTGGCTGCCTGCTGGCTGTAACTAGAGTATTTATCCTGGATAAACTTGCTAAAAATGAAATGAAGGGGAGGGAGAAATTACATAATTAGGATTCTTGATCTGGTTATTTTGTCGAAGTCAGTCTGAGCACAAACATAGGGAAAAGAAGGGTTTTAATGTGAGGAGACTTGTAAACAAGCTTGATTCCATCCGGTTTGTAATGCCAAGCCTTTGTTGTTCAGTTTTCTGGTGTACACCAGTAAAGCTGGTGCTTAAATGGCCCTTTTCAAGATGCTTCTTCAAGTGCAGAGTAGAACTGCAGGTTAAAGCTGGGCACATACTCAATTACATGAGCACAGCTCAGGAGCAGCGATTTGCTGTCACCTGTCCAAAACACACGGATGGATTTTGTACATTCTCTCTGAAGAGGCAGAAATCATTATCAATCCAGGCGTGAGAATGCTGAGGGGCAGGGAAAAGAGTTAAAAATAACCCAACAGCAAAGATCAGCATTTAAATTGAACACCTGCACTTCAGAAGTAGGAGGATTCCCCCCACCTTGGCATCTTTAAGGAGACCTGTTTAGAGCCGAGAGCATCCAAAACAAATTGTGTTTTCATTGTCACAAGTCAGCCTTTCACCTTCTTTAAGGGTGTGCAAAAATGGTGTTAAAAGTTTCTGTAATACTTTACAGAACTTAGAGTCATACAGTTGCAACAGCTTAGAAAGATCAGAGTAAGCATTACTTAGCAACAACTAAAAACATCGATTATCAGTGTTGCTCTCAGACTAAAATTGAAAACACAGCACTGCACCAGATGACTAGGGGAGAAAAATAACTTACAGCTGAGCCCAGGACACTAGTTTATTTAGCAATCTTGTAGCTACTTAAACCTGGTTTGGCCACTTGCATGGATGCTTACCCTTCATACCAGTGAGACTCTGGACCTCTGCTGGCAGCGAAGTTTATAAAACAAGACACTGTTCCCTGAAGGTTTACTGCAGCAGAAGTCGCCACACCCATGGCCTTGGGACCATTATTTTCCCACCTGGGAAGCACCACAGCATTTCTTGCCAGACAGGGTGTGTTAAATGTGACTCCTGGTGCCTGAACTTTGCTCCACAGGGAGGAAAAAGTCCAACTCTGCAGGCTGGCAGAATTGCAGAAATGTGGACTCTCATGAATGGAGACAGTTCACAGTGACAGTGAGAGGGCAGCTGTCTCCTCAGGCCTGGGTATTTTTGCCATCTCTGATGTCTTTATCTTATCTTACTGGTAAGAGGTCACTTGTACGTGTATTATGACAATGATGATGACATTTCTTCACTCCTAATTTCACTGTGGCTTGCTATACATCACTCATGAAATACTACCAAAATAATGTTCTTTTTTTTTTATGGTGGGCCTTTGCTAAAAGTTCATGTTCATTATGGGGTGGATGCTGCATCATCCACAAACAGGAGAAAAGCAGCAAAATAACAAGCCCATGGAAGAGCCACAGGACAGAAGCTGGAGTCCCAGTTTAGTTCGGCAGGTCGGCACTTTGTTTTAAGCAAATGAAGGCATACAAAAGGAAGTGTGAAAACCTTGCACTAGGACACAAAGGCTTCCTCACCTGTAAACCCTGGCTGATGCCAACTTAACTTTGTTCCAAACACAGCAGAGAATATGCAAGAACTCCAGGACAGAATGGCCCTAGGCCTGTGAAGCAAACACCCCCACTCTGCTCCAAAGACAGCCACTTCCTTGGACTATCAGAAAGGTGATATATCTACAGGCTGTGTTTTAAATAAAGGATTTCTTCCCCTCCTCCAAAATGCTCTAAGCCTCCTTTGACAGTGTTCCAAGCTTTAAACATTGGGTGAATCATTTCCCTTTAAGTTATTTTTGCTTTCCTTCAGAAGCCTCCCTCATCTTTGAAGGCCAAAGCACCCTCCAGTCTTTGACTAGGTGTTGAAGTCATCTTTCTCTGTGCTTCATGACTGCAAGGAACAAACATATTATCCCCGTATTTCCCAGTCAGTGAAAAATCAAGGGCCTGCAAAGGCTCTGATGGGGCTGTATCAGTCAGTGGGACCAAGCAATACCTGGCATCTGCCACAAAAGGAAAGATTCTATTATAGCAGAACATGATGGTGAGGACCAGCAGCCAGTAGCAGAGGCAAAGTTGCTTGATGCCCTGAATCCACTGCAAAGAGAAGATGTGCCCTCACTCACCAGGAAACAACCTTCAGCCTCACACTAATGTCACTTTCTGCAAGCCATTGAAGGTCACAAAAAATGCAAGAAGTAACAGCAGGTAAAAGGGAATTGAAAGCTCACTAACATCTGAGTGAAATTTAGCATGTGCTGACTCCAAAGCACTCCTTAGATAACAATACTCAAGTAAGCAAAACAAAACCTTTCTTCTTAGTTTTATAAAGGTTATGGCTGCAAGAGACTGTTCTAAACAGCTGACTGCAAAAGCTTCAGTGAAACATAGTTGAAAGATACAGGACAAACACAAATCACAACCCTAAGTTACACAAACCATTAAGAACTGTATCATGAGGAGGAAGCTAAGAGATCTAAGTGCCATAAAGATTGCAACCTATTGCCCGTAATGCTTGTTGCTAGACAGAAGAATGCAATGAGGGATGGGAGATAAGGGCTAGCAAAAGACAGTTCAGCAGTGACCATATCAGCTATTTTCTATCATGGATCCTGTGTGCCAGAAAGCAGTTCCAGAGGGAAGCTGCTCTCTAGTTTTATGTATAAAATCCTCTTCTGAGCCACCTACAGTCAAGAAGTGACTGGCTCAGAAAAGTAATGCCATTTAGAGTCTCCGAAGACTGCAAATACACAAACTCCAAACAGAAAACTGACACTTGTTTGGTAGCTTGCAGTTGCAATAACCTCAGCTTTACCTGAAGAACTGCTCTGCAAGGTTTAACCAGTGTAAATGCTCTCTTCTGGCCAGGAGCAGATCCACTGCAGCTTTCCCTGCACTGCAAAAGCAGCGCTCCCCCACCCCAGGCTTTCACAGATGGAGATGGAAAAGCTGTCTGTGCACCATGTACCACGTATTTGGATTCCTGCTGTATAATCCCATCCAAGCCCTGCTACTTTATGCCCACTTTATCTAGTACACTGACTGTGAGGGCTGAAACAACATAACCAAGCACACAGAGCAGGGTACCTGGATAAAACACAAGAGGTGTTAGAAATTCCTCATTGTGGAGGCACCAATGAAGAAAACATCTCTCCATTGCATACAGAATGCAACAGGAAAAACTAGGAAATAATGTTTGTCCTGTTAACTTCACCATCCTTTCCAGGAACCTCTCATAAGTGGATGGAATAGGCTAGACTTAAGTCAAAAAAACAAAAGGCCAAAGCACCAGAGAAACTCACCTCCCCACAGTGTCCACTGTATTCCAAATTTTGCCTCAAACTGCTGGGTGGAGAAGAAGTTGAGGACACTCTCAAGTCGGGAGAAAGACAAAGTCAGTCCAAATGCCAGTGCCAGTTCCTTCCCCTTGAACAAGAAGGCTGTGATACAATTCTGCACAACTTGGAGAAGACAGGATTTTCTCTTATGTACAGACAGAAGTGGCTAAAAACATTGCACAGGAACAACAAACACCCTCTCAAGTCAGAGTGCTTGACTTGAGCACATCCCAAGTGGAGGCATTACTTGTCAACTTCACAGTCCATTTTAAATCATGCTGGGACATGGGAGGTGAACTTACCCCTCAAACAAGGCAAGCAAAAAACAACCTCAAAGGCATAGCAATCCTTTCAGTCACCATCTCTTGGAGAAGGACAAACTTATTAGAGGGGAAGACTTTCAAAATTTCAGCACACATTAAATCCATGCAGCCCTTCAAGAAACAGTGTTCTGTTTGCAATGCAGGTTCCTGCTGCAGAGCAGGTGAAGCTGACTGGTAGCACAGTGGTTTAGGAGGCAAAATACAAATGTATCATGACCACCTTTCAGTGAGGTGTAATTAAGAAATGTGAATTCCTTACTAGTAAGTGACCCATCTCCAGAGCCAAAGAGCAGTCTTCCTGTCAGCATCACTGGCAGGAGGTATGATGACCCCTTGAAATGTGCACCTAAAGCAAAGACTGATGATCCCAACACAGGAGAAAACAAGGACAGCCACTAGGGAGAAACAGCAGGAAAAAAAATACACAAACCTCAACAGACATGCTGAGATAAGGACAAAAGCAGTCTGTACAAAAGAGTAACCTCAAAACACACCAGAGTACGTGTGGGCTTCCATCAGTTTACCCTCATTATTTTAATTTTGTAAAGACTGGTCTCTTTATGAAATTACCTGAGAATCCTCAAAATACTGATGTTGTTATCATGGTGGAAGGTTAGAGCGTCAGGGTAAGACAGAGGGCTCCGAACACTCTGGAGTCCCTGTTCCTGTCTTGATTTCTACTACAGACCATGGCCTAGAGCAAGCCATCTCCTTCCCTGTGCCTCTATCTCCTCATCTGTAGGATGATTACCTCAGTGACAGAGAGATGGAGCACAACTGCATTTGCTGGGACTGAGACTTATGGCACATGTCAGAACAAATGTCAGAGCAGGGAACAGAATACAGTATCACACAGTATCACAGTATGCTAGAGATTGGAAGGGACCTCGAAAGATCATCTAGTCCAATCCCCCTGCCGGAGCAGGAACACCTAGATAATGTTACACAGGAATGTGTCCAGGCGGGTTTTGAATGTCTCCAGGGAAGGAGACTCCACAACCTCCCTGGGCAGCCTGTTCCAGTGTTCTGTCACCCTCACTGAGAAGAAGTTTCTTCTCAAGTTTAAGTGGAACCTCTTGTGTTCCAGTTTGTACCCATTACCCCTTGTCCTATCATTGTTTGCCACTGAGTAGAGCCTGGCTCCCTCCTCGTGACACTCCCCCTTTATATATTTACAGACACTTATAAGGTCACCCCTCAGTCTCCCCTTCTCCAAACTATAGAGACCCAGCTCCCTCAGTCTTTCCTCATAAGGGAGATGCTCCACTCCCTTAATCATCTTCGTTGCCCTGCGCTGGACTCTCTCCAGCAGGTCCCTGTCCTTCTTGAACTGAGGGGCCCAGAACTGGACACAATATTCTAGATGCGGTCTCACCAGGGCAGAGTAGAGGGGAAGGAGGACCTCTCTCGACCTACTAACCACCCCACTTCTAATACACCCCAGGATGCCATTGGCCTTCTTGGCCACAAGGGCACAGTGTTGGCTCATGGTCACCCTGTCGTCCACTAGGACCCCCAGGTCCCTCTCCCCTACACTGCCCTCTAACAGGTCGTTTCCCAACCTATACTGGAACCTGGGGTTGTTCCTGCCCAGATGCAGGACTCTACACTTTCCCTTGTTATATTTCATCAAGTTATTCCCTGCCCAACTCTCCAGCCTGTCCAGGTCTCGCTGGATGGCAGCACAGCCTTCTGGCGTGTCAGCCACTCCTCCCAGCTTAGTGTCATCAGCAAACTTGCTGATAGTACACTCAATTCCCTCATCTAAATCGTTGATGAATATATTAAATAATACTGGTCCCAGTACTGACCCCCGAGGCACTCCACTAGTTACAGGCCTCCAACTAGACTCAGCCCCATAGACTACAACTCTCTGGCTTCTCTCCTTCAGCCAGTTCACAGTCCACCTCACTACCTGATCACCCAGTCCACACTTCCTCAATTTAGCTGTGAGGATGCCGTGGGAGACTGCTTTATCAGTTTGTCCCATAGAAAACTGATAATGCTATTCCCTGGTAATGTGCGTGTCAGAGGAAAGCACATTTACTACACTGCTGTGTAAATTCAGGTAAGTCAGTGGTCAAATGGTGAAAATGTCTCGGTTGCCTCAGCAGAGCTGCTCAACTAACCGTCACATGCTCCACACACAGAGCTGTCCCTCCTCTCCCATCCCTCTGTGACCTTACTGAAGTGGAACCTTTGATTACCCCTTTGAACTGAAAGAACAGCCTGAAATCCCACTTCAGTACGAGAATAAATTACTTAGTGCACAGAACTTACAGCAATTTCCTAGTTTATCAATCAGGAATCCAGCCAGAATAACCACTACTGCATTTCTAGGAGAAAACAAAAACATGAACATTGATGTCTTGCTGCTGGGAAGCAACTGGTAAACTACCCCACCCCTCAAAGCAAGAGAAAAGTGACTTATGTCCAAGCACAAATTGCATACAACAAGTTGTATTGTGCAGCTGTCACTCCCAAGCCTTTGATGCAGCCAAGCATGCTCTTATGCCCAGTGCTGTTACCATGAGTTCCACTGTGGCAGGTCAAGCTCTGCATAACAAGTCACAGAGCCTTTGGTAGGCAGCAGACACAGATGAAAACCCAGCGTCCCTTTAAAAATCAAGTTAAATTCTTGCCTACTAGATTTCTACTTCTCCTACTCAGTTCCCACTTCCACAACCAGGAGCTAGAGGACTTGTGTCCTCTTCCAGGCAGCCAGCCCTTACCAAACGAGAAACGACCAGCCACCAGCACCACACATTTTCCCTTCCCCTTCTTGTGGCAACACAACTCAGCAGTTTCAGACACACTCCAGTCCACAAGACAAGCCACGAGGCTGCACCATGAGGTTTACCTGATCCTTTAGTTTCTTGGCTATAGCTTAGCTTGATCTGACTCTTCATTATGTACTCTAACATCTTAAGCAGTGTGTAAATATGAAACTTAGCAGTATCTCATATTAATTTGCATCTATAAAGCATCTGCTGGACAGCAGGAAACTGGTAATTGTGGCATGGCTTAGTAACATCGAGTTTGCTACTGAAAAGCAACATCAGGAAAAAAACCCCAGATCTTCCACTACTAAAAATCTACCTGCATTAGGAAATGGACAGCAGGTCTTCTACAGCAGCAGGCACAAGCTTCACATTGTGAATAAGCACGACAACATGACACTGACCACATGACTTTCATACAGCCATTATATCTACAAACCCCTCAGATGTGCTGTTGTAGAAACATCTGAGGCTGTGGGGAAATGGTTCTCTAGAACCAAGTGTCTTCACTGCAAGCACTGTCATGGATGCTCTGACTACCACTGTACCACTTGTGTAGCAGGTGGAGGCTAAATTGGCCAGTGTTAAAATATGAGCATGCCAACAGCTAAAACCACTGTTTGCCCAGTTCCTAGCACAGAAAAATATGGCTTGGTTGCACTATGCTATCCAGTTAACTAGGTAACAAAATACGAAAGAACCTTTCATTTACTCCTCTCCCACATGACTCCTCCCACAGATCCAGACCTACAGAAGTTGTGGAAGGTCAAGGAATAAATGCTGACCTACTTTACTCTTTTTACTCCTGTTTGCAATGACAAACTGCACCAAATTTAGCCTGGCGTTCACTGTCTAAATCTAACGGGTTAATGGCATGCTAAATACATTTCATGGTTAAGTCAAGTATATGTCATGGTTTAAGTACAGTCAGTAACCCATGCAGCCTGCTCGCTCACTGTCCCCCTTTCTGTCCTATCCCCCCCCCCCCCCCCCCCCCGATGAACAGGGAGAAGAATCGAAAGAAGGTAACTCCCACGGATTGAGATAAGAACAGTCCAGTAACTAAGGTATAACACAAACCACTGCTGCTACCACCAATAATAATAATGATAAGCCCTTGCGGGTAGCTCTCAGTTACATCCTGGGCATGACATGCTCTGGTATGGAATACCTCTTTGGCTAATTTGGGTCAGGTGTCCTGTCTGCTTCCTCCCGGCTTCCCCTCCTCCCTGGCACAGCATGAAACTCACAAAGTCCTTGGTCAGAGTAAACACGACTTAGCAATAACTAAAAACACTGGTGTTATCAGCTCTATTCCCAGGCTGAAAGTCAAAACACAACGCTGCATCAGCTACTAAGGAGAAAAATGACTGCTGCTGCTGCACCCAGGACATGCTCCTACTGCGGAAGCAAAGTACAGGACAGCAGCTGTGCCAACAGAGGGCACACGTGAGTAGAATCATCAAGACGTGAAACAAACGCGATAACGAGCTAAATGAGTCAAGTAAGAATGTGTCAAGTAGTCAGGAATTAAGGTAAGAACTTTGGGACTCTAGCATTCCTGGAGAAACCCCTGAAATCACCCAAAACATCACTCTGAACCCTAAACAACGCATTTTACTAGCATTTGAGAACGTAACTAGTTTTTCAGAGGATCCCAGACTGATTTGAGAGTTGGAAAGGACCTTAAAGCTCATCCAGTTCCAACCCCCTGCCATGGGCAGGGACACCTTCCACTAGACCAGGTTGCTCCAAGCCCCGTCCAACCTGGCTTTGAACACAGCCATGGATGGGGCAGCCACGGCTTCTCTGCATAACCTGTTCTAACCCCTCACAGCTTGTCCTGGCTTTGTGTGTCTTCACAGCAAAACAACCCCTCACCCCCAGCATCGGGAATGTAAGATCTTGGAGCACAACTCCTCTATCGACACCGTAAGAAAAGGTTTTGAAACCACCGGGGACCAAGGGCTGAGTTCTGCCCATTCCCACCCTCTGTGTTGCCAGCGTGAAGCCCAGGCAAACACCTCACACTTACCCCCTGAAACAGCTCCTGCAGAACACCGGGGATGTCGAAGCAGAAGTAGCAGCCAAAGGTGAGGAGGCAGTTGAAGAGGAAGCACCACGAACCTGTACGCGGCTTCGCGGCAGAGAGCACCTACCTCAGCCTTCACCTCCCTCCTCACCTCTCCTCACGGCCCGGCCCTCCCCTCCCTCAGGCTACGCCAAGACCCGGCGGCGAGCTCAGCCCGGCCCGGGTGGGACAACGGCGGACCTTCCGCAGGGCCCGCACCACACGTCCCGGGCCTCCTCTCCTCCCTACCCGACAGCGCTCACCTCGCTCCGCCGCCACTTCCATACTGCAAACCCTCGCCTCCCGCGGAGGCCTGTACCGGGACCTCCCCCGCTAGACTGAGCCAGGGCTGGGCGGGGTTGAAAGGCGCGTAAAGGGATCCGATTAGGAAAGCGGCATGATAAAGTTGAGAGATCGTCCTCGGCCGAAAGAGGAAATTTAGTAAAGAGAATTAAAACTGGTGCATAGAAAAGGCAGAAACTGGATCAACATAAACTGGAGTACAAAATGTGATACTTTGGGGCCTTTTAGGAGTGTCAATAGAAGTGTCTCATGTAAGAAATGCGGAAAGAAGGTATTTTTTTAAGCTAGTAGAAGGTACTGCGTGAGAATAGGTAGATAGATAGATAGATAGATAGATAGATAGGAACCATCTGAGCACAAATTAAGAGGTTTTGAGTTACTACAAGAGCAGGGTCCTGGTAATGAAGGAAAGAAGAGGAAAAAAAAACCCAACCCACAAACAGACACCCCCCACCCCCTCAAAAAAAAAAGAAAAACAAAACAAAAAAAAAACCAAACCCCACAAACCACCAAAGCCTCTATGTGATTGAAAGGGTATTTTTTTTTTTCCATTTGAATAATGTTTTCTACCCAAACAAGGCACAAAGAGCCATCAAATAAGTTTCATAGTAGCAACAGTGAGGGCCTGTGCCTTTCCTGATGTGAAAATAGGGCTTAATAAAGAAATGAGTAAGGCTCTGGGGCATGGCTGTCCTTCACAGGAAGCAGTAGGGTTTGGAAATCCAGACAAGAAAGCTGTAGAGGGACTTTTTACAAGGGTGATAGGACAAAGAGGATATTGAGATGAGATCTTAGGCAGTTCTCCCCTATAGATGCGTGGGATCAGACTACAACTCAAGGAGGTATGTTTATTATGGAGCCGGGTGCAAAGGGGATTGCTCCTCCTAATTTGCACACCGAGGGATTAAGCGAGCAGATATTTATTACACACAAACATGCATACTCATTAGATTCCCAAGAGAGCAGCAGGGCAATTACAATTAGTTCTGGGAACGCATTACCATAAATCTCCTCCTCTTGGTGCTTGTGCACTGCCCTCCTGTGATCGTGGGCAGGGGGCTTCACGATGAAGTAAGCAGTCTTCCTCACGATGTACTTTTCACCTTTGGCACAGTTGGATGCCTCAGTAATCACAAAACTAGCTGTAATGTAATGGTGGCATGAATGTTTGTCCAGGTTCAAGTTACTGCATGTCTAGAGGAAACTTTAGGGTGTCTTTAGGGAGGAAAGGGACATACATAAAATACTTCAGGTGTCTTTTCAGTTAAAGATAACTTGCTGATTATGGCCAGGTGAAATACTTCCTTGCTAAATCTGTATGTCAGCAGCTCTGGTGTCTCAGCTGCTGCACAGAACTTCTACAAGAGAATCAGAACTAATAGACATGACTGATTAAAAATCTGTGAGCACTTGGGAACACTGAACCTGAAGACTCTTGTTATTTCCATCTTCTATACAGTAAGAATCTTTATTTAGTAGAAGAGGTGTGGGCTTGTGTCACAAAGTTAGAAAGATCCAAAAAATTTAAAACCAAAGAAGCAGCAATGGGTCAGAAACTACTTACAACACTTCTGGAGGAAGAACTAGACCAGTTCACACAGAGGAAAGAAGGAGCTCCTTTTTTATTACTGCTTTAAGGAAGAGAATTGGTATTTGATATGAAAAATCAATTAGCAGACAAGTAAGACTGAGATTCTGAACATCATCCAATGAAACCTTCCTTGAAGAGAACTTTTTATGTAGAGGACCAATGATAGCTTTGTAAGTTCTGAAGCATAGCTTTGGGCTGTTGGTTGGTGTAAAGCTTGCATAAGGTTTTATCTGATATTTTAATATTGTCTCCTGGCTATTAGGTCAAATTCCATTCATCTTTACTTGAATTCGTAGGTGTTCAGTCATTCTGATTTCTATTTGAGTGATTCCCTGGTTCCTACACATTCCATAAATCCTCATAATACTTTGACTTAACTGTACATCTATTCCACAACTGTAGAGCTTTTTTTATATCCTGGAGCTCTCAGAAGTCCTGGTTAAAGCCTGCACAGCTAATTGTAATTAAGTTTTACAGAACACTTACTAAAAGTAGTATCAAGCCCTTGAAGTCCTTCTGCCAGTTTTTCTGATTTTATAGCTTCAATTTTCTGCCTTAAAACAGTCAATGTCTTTTGCTATGTTTTTCCTCTTGTTTATGTGGATTTTTCATCAGCAAGATCTCAGTCAGAATTTTCCCTCTTTGCTGAGCTGCTAAATAAAGGCAACCCGACTCTTCTGGTACTTGCACTGCATCCCTTGTTGCTATGGTTGAGCATCTGTCTGTCACCTTAAATTTGTACTGAGGGCATCTTTTAAATGTAGCTTAGGTTTCTAGAGGTTCTGCAGGAGTCTCTCTCTTACTTTATACAAAGCAAATGGAAAGAAATTGGGGAGTTGGTGTAAACCTTCTGGGCACTAAGGTGTGTTCAGCTGCCCTGTTCTGCTTGAGAAGGTAGTCCTTGGCTAAGGATGTCCCTGCTCTTGCAGTCCGTCAGCTGAAAGCATGGGAGTAAAATGGGGCTGGGGTTAAGGTTGGTTACACAGGAAGAAAGTGTGCTGGTACACAATATGTGTGTCCAAAATGACATCTGAAATTTCCCA